CTGTGTAGTTGATGGATAAAGCCTTATCCAAGGAAGAGGTGGTGAAAGGCCGGGAGTAGACAGAGATACAGGGAATGAAGATCATAGACACCACAATGATGTGAGTGGTGCAGGTGGAAGCTGCCTTCTTCCTTGCCTGCCCTGAGTGGGACCTCAGCATCACCAGGATGACCGTGTAAGATATCAGAAGGAGAAGGAACCAAATAAGGACCAACATTCCACTGTTGGAGATCATGAGGAACTCCAGGAGGGAGGTGTCAGTGCAGGCAAGTCTCAGCACTTGTGGGACATCACAGTAGAAATTATCCAGGACGTTGGGGCCACAAAAAGGCAATGGGAGCATCAGAGCCAGCTGGACAATGGAGTGAACAAATCCCCCTACCCAAGCAGCCACCACCAGCCCCATACACAACTGAGTGTTCATGATGGTGACATAGTGGAGGGGCCGGGAGATGGCTATGTAGCGGTCAAAGGCCATCACCGAGAGGAAGAAGACAGTCGCGCCACCAAGAAGATGAATGCAGAAGATCTGGGCCATGCAGCCCTGGTAGGAGATGGTCTTCTTTTCAGAGAGGAAGTCCACCAGCATCTTTGGGGCAGTGACAGAGGAGAAACAGAGGTCTAAGACAGCCAGATTTCGGAGCAGGAAGTACATGGGTGTGTGGAGCCGGGTGTCTGAGGTCACTGTGACCATGATGAGGAGGTTTCCCATGACAGTGGCTGTGTAGACAAACAGGAATGCCAAAAACAGGAAAAGCTGGAGCTCTCGAGTCTCTGAGAACCCCAAAAAGACAAACTCTGATACCCACGTGAGGTTTTTTGCCTCCATGGCACCTTTTCTTTTTTAAGATTTTATTTATTTATTTGAGAGAGAGAATGAGATAGAGAGAGGGAGCATGAGAGGGGTGAGGGTCAGAGGGAGAAGCAGACTCCCCGCTGACAGCAGGGAGCCCGATGCGGGACTCGATCCTGGGACTCCAGGATCATGACCTGAGCCGAAGGCAGTCGCTCAACCAACTGAGCCACCCAGGCGCCGCCTCCATGGCATCTTCTCCATACTCCTAAAGAAAAGGAATCATAGACACAAATGCATGAAGTCACTTTTAGTGCTCAGGGTTCAAACTGAGTTGTCCAGGTGCAGGTGATGGGTCCTCATGTGCAGATATATCACCTGGTGCTGATTCTTTTTTTTTTTTTTTAAAGATTTTGTTTATTTATTTATTTGAGAGAGAGAATGAGAGACAGAGAGAGCGCATGAGACGGGGGAGGGTCAGAGGGAGAAGCAGACTCCCTGCCGAGCAGGGAGCCCGAAGTGGGACTCGATCCCGGGATTCCAGGATCATGACCTGAGCCGAAGGCAGTCGCTTAACTGACTGAGCCACCCAGGCGCCCCCCTGGTGCTGATTATTAATGGACTTGTCAGTGGACAGTATACAAACTGGTGCTATAATATACATTCATGAGATATCTTAAAGCCATCCAGAGCATATGCAACCTGCCTTTCAAAGATTCCGTGTGATCCAGTTTGGGGAGACAGTTGGAGTCCAACACAACAGCAGTCAAATGCAGGGCTTCTAGTTATCTGAGATTTGACCGTAATTCGGCTACTTAATCTCTCTGAGTCTCAGTTTCCACATCTGTCAGATAGGAATAAACACATCTTTTTTTATAGAATTGTCTAGGGCATGAAATAGATAACACATCAAGTTCCTGGAAAGTGCCCGGAAATAAGTCACTCTGGCAATCACTCCTTCTGGGTATTCTCCTCCTCTAAGACATCTTCCCTTCTTCCAGTCTCAAATAAACTTTTCTGGCAATGATTTTTCATGCAACATTTAACACATCCTCATGTTAATGGGCTTTTCCTGTGACTATGTTTTTCCTCCACAACTTAACTGAAAGCTCCCAGAGGCAGAGACAAGGATCTTTATTTGTGCCCCACAGTGCCCGTCTTGGTGGACAGTCAATGCTCCAAAATCAGGTTGTGTTGATGCTGGGTGGGGGAGGAGCTGTGAGGTGCAGCCCCTTACCTGGTGAGGCCCAGAAAGTTACAGAGTGTGTGCTGAGACAAGAGAGAAGCCAGGGTGAGAGAGTCTCTGGTTTAAGAAATAGTTATGAGTATTTCATGATGGAGACCCTGAGAGCTCTGCTGAAAGGAACAAGAAGTTTAGAAGATGTTACTGATACAAGAAGGAGGAGGAGGATGTTGAAATAAGAGCATAGAAACGGATAAAGGAATCAAGGTGGGAGAGGGAGGAAGAGAGCAGGTGACGGAGGGGAAATGGGAAGGTAGTGGGTGGAGGAGGGAACAGGGCAAAGCTGGAGAAGGAGGTGTAGGGGGAGAGATGGAGGGGGACGGGTTAGGGGCGAGGGGTCCTCCCCACTCCTCCTGCCCTGTCTCAGTCCCATCCTGTCTCATGTGCCTACTGCAGTCCATCATGGATTAAGGGTCAGGTTCATCTCATCCTTTGCCTTCCATTTACTTCCACTGCAGGCTGGTTGTATAAGACTGTCAGTGAGAACTTTTAAGCTCATATCTGGTTTCTCTCTCACTATAATCTTCCGGTGACTGTCTAGTGCCCCTGGCTTATAACTTAAACTCTTTGAAACTGCCTAATATGCTTTGTGGATTTATACAGAGTCGAAAATCATGCTTACCTATGTGCATGCAACTCCCTCTCAGCGTGTCACACAAGGCTATAAAACGTAGCCTTCACCTAACTTTGTAATCGGTATCCCCCACCATGGAAGAAATTGCTATTCAAGAAATTCATATGAATTGAATGTCTACTATATGCCAAGACCTGTGTGACAGCTTCTCACATGTGCCATATGCTCGGTTATTTCCGTAGCCTTGGTAATGTGTTCTGTTTCCTGAAAGGCCCTCTACTACCTTCTCACCCTAAAAAACTGGGATATCACCTCCTCTCCCTGTCTCTCCGAAGCAGAATTAATCTCTTCTTTCTCTGGGTTCCAATAAGAATTTATAAATAGCTCCATTAGAGCATTTATCACTTTCTTCTCTTGTCCCTCTTAACTAGACGGTAATACAGTAATGTTATAACGCCAACACCTAGAACAGCAACGCTGACTTAGAAGTTGCTCCAAACATGTTTGCTAAATTAACGTATTAGTAGGTAATTCTGTGACCTCGTTTTCTACAACTAAGTGGGAATTTTGTGGTGCTTTTCCTTACACTCTGCTCTCAGTACGCTCCATTCCTGCTTGGTTGTTAAAAGCCTGGGTTTTCACACGCAACCTGAGGCATCTGTTTTCAACATTATATTTTCCCTGCATTCTTTCCCGAGACTCTCCTCACCCTTTAGACTTACTGCCATCCAGTCTATGTCTACTTGTTTAATCTCCCCTCTTTCCAGTAAGTGTTTCTGAGTGGTTTTTGCAGCCGATTTATCTACAGAGGAGAAAACCTTGGTGTCTCACCTTCCTCCAGCCCAGAATGGGAGAATGGCTTCAGGTCTCACATCATCTTGGAGAGCCTTTTCCTGCAGCGTCAGTTCCCTGGCCACTGCCCACACATCACCTATGACAACAAGGGTGACCCTAGGGAAAGAGGGCATATCCTTAGGGACACACTATTGGACTGGGCTCAGCTCTAGAAACAGAGCTGAGCTGATTCCACCCCCACCCCGATTCCCACTGGAGGCAAGGGAACAAAGGGGGTTGTTAAAAAGTTTCTAAAAGGTCTCAAAAACACTTAACTCTCTGTGAGGTCTTCCTTGGGAGCCAAAGTACCAAGGACATTGAAAACTTTAGAGATTTGGAGATTGTGGGATTCTCAAGCCACAATCTTAAAGGAAAAAGTCTCTTCCAAAGAAACAGACTCTGGGAGTTTTAGACAAACCCATTGGTTAGACCAGTGATTCTTACCCTTAAAAGAATCACCTGGAGAGCTTGTGAAGAGTGAGTAGTGTGTCCCCAGTCCCAGACTTTCTCATTCAATTAGTCAGTAATAGGGCCAAGAATTTGTATTTGGAACAAGTTCTCAGATAATGCTGATGCTCCTGTTTCTGGGTCACACATTCAGTCTGTTTTCTCTCTCACTCCCTCTTTCTTTTTCTCTTTCGTTCTCTCTCTGAGAGTGTGCAGAATCATCAAGCTAACTGATGATTACTTGCTCTCTATTCCTTCTCCTCCTTCTTCTCTTTCTCCCTTTCTTTCTTCTTTAAACTTAATTGATCTTTATTTAGAGAAAGTCATCAATGGGAAAACATTTGTATAATACAATCCATACTTTAAAAAATCTTGTCCTTTATTTTACCACCCAGGCCCCCAGTGTTGATTTACCATCCATATCCAGATCTACTAATATTATCTATAAAATGCTAGCATTTTTTAAAATAATTTTTTATTGTTATGTTAATCACCATACATTACATCATTAGTTTTTGATGTAGTGTTCCATGATTCATTGTTTGTGCGTAACACCCAGTGCTCCACGCAGAACGTGCCCTCCTCAATACCCATCACCAGGCTAACCCATCCCCCCACTCCCCTCCCCTCTAGAACCCTCAGTTTGTTTTTCAGAGTCCATCGTCTCTCATGGTTCGTCTCCCCCTCCGACTTACTCCCCTTCATTCTTCCCCTCCTGCTATCTTCTTCTTCTTTTTTTTTTCTTAACATATATTGCATTATTTGTTTCAGAGGTACAGATCCGTGATTCATCAGTCTTACACAATTCACAGTGCTCACCATAGCACATACCCTCCCCAATGTCTATCACCCAGCCACCCCCTCCCTCCCAACCCCACCACTCCAGCAACCCTCAGTTTGTTTCCTGAGATTAAGAATTCCTCATATCAGTGAGGTCATATGATACATGTCTTTCTCTGATTGACTTATTTCACTCAGCATAACACCCTCCAGTTCCATCCACGTCGTTGCAAATGGCAAGATCTCATTCCTTTTGATGGCTGCATAATA